TTCATTAATGGGGATTTTATGCTACCTCAACTAATTTAGAACGCCACTGCTCCTTTGATAGTAAGAAGACGTGACCCTTTGAAACAAAACTTTCAAACAGGACCTCGTGAGTTTTTTTTTTAATTATTTCTTATTGAAAAAGATATCCCGTCCGTCGACCAACCTATGAAACACATGGAATAGCCCAGATAACAAGACCAAAATGATTATTGATTTCAGCATATCAGTCTTTTAGAGAAGGCAATTTACGACAGATGTTACGACTACTTTGAATCTGATCAACGACCACTTGTAGCTAAACAGATAACCCCAACTAACGAAATAGCTGGTTTCTTTTCACATAAACCACTATAGACACCTAGGTAGAGTATCCAAGACCTAAAAATGAAAGGATAAGTTTAGAACTCTGCAACAGAGTCTAAAATGATGTTCCTAAATCTCGACAAAAAAAAAAAAAAACAAAAAAAAAAAAAAAAAAAAAAAAAAAACACAGAGGAATCAAATAATAGTATCATTTTCATTAGTCGAAGCACATGAGACCATTTCAAAAATACACAGATTGGAAAAGATACTCCCATGTAACGACAATCTTGAATTAAAAAGATTGATATAAGAAACAAACAAACAGAAGAGGAAGAAAAAATGGAAGGGAGGAAACTAAACAATTAATAAAGGGAATAAAAATTCAGTTAGTGTTTTGAGAAACCAATATCTTCGAAAAATTTTAAATTAATGAAACCAGGCAACATAGACAATGTGTTTGAAGCGAGGAGAAAAACGAACAATGACAATAAAATCATATAACTGAAACCAACACAGAAGAATTGTCCTGACCTAAAAAAAAAACCCCCAAAAAAAACCTTCGAATCACATTTCAACCCAGACCACACTAAAGATGCCATTCAGAAATAAAACATATACCAATATGGAAAAAGACAAAAGGATACCTTAGCTTAACCGACGCGTTTCGTCCCCTGAGGGACTTTATCAAGGCAAATTTGCTTATCGGCTAATATAAGTTTTTCTTTTGTCTTTTTCTTATTGTCTTTTTACAGTTATATCTGAAATTTTGACATATACCGATATACACCCAACCATGGCAATGTCTGTTTACAATCACAAACAACAACGTAGCTACTGGCGAAGAAGTTAAGAAATTTATAAGAAGAAAACTAAGGAATAATAATGCATTACATTCAGGCTGAACTTTTGAAAATAGATTCTCTACGAATTCAATGGCAAGTTTTTCGATTCGATAAAATAAATCTTGAATCACAAACAAATCAGGATTTATTACGCATTAATGCAACATGGAAATAAAAACGTGGCTCGACATATGCAAAAGTTTTTCTGTTTATACTTTGTTTTAAGGATACAACATATTTGAATAAATTCTGTTTTAATTAAACAATATGAATTACATTTACCGTTCTGAATGTTCGAGAAACTTCGTAGAAAATATACGTTCTCCGACATAATCCGAATTTTTATGCCATACGGAAATCGTCATATCGTCTGACATACCGTTAATCATTCAGCCACAGAGAACTTTCCGGTTAAAGTTCAAATTACTGCTTATAAACATACATTTTCAACGATCTTTCTCGATATATCATTTCTGATCTGAAATGTAACCTATCGTAAACATTGACAACATATGTTATTTTTAATGATACAACTTATTTGAGTAAATAAGTTGTATTCATAAAAAATAACGTATAAACAGAAAATATATTAAAATATTTGTCGGATTTTATCCATTTCATCTATATACAGAAGTATCCCAATTGGATCCATTAGGATGATGGCACTAATGAATATTGCCTTAACTAAGTTCTCATCTTTTTAAGAAAGTCAACTCGTTTGATTTTCGTTTTGGTAAGAGGTGTAAACAATTCAAGGAAATTGCATAACTCTGCAATAGAAAATTGTATACCTACTATGTCGACCTCACATATGACATATTCAATAAAGATTTCTTGGCATCTACAAGAAACCGACTTCCAAAGGAACTACATCGTTCCAAACAATCGTACATGTCTGGTTCGGACCTCACCAGGGAAACATTCCAAGCCTCATCAAGGACACAGAAAGTAGAAAATGAGAGCTCCAGTTTATTTCATATTTTCTTAGATAACAGACTGCGCACATACAAGCACAGATTTGAAGAGATGGGCACCGACCATTTAATCATTCATATCCCAAACAAATCCACGAATAGAAAATAGCGATCCTGTTTCCCATTCTAGATCAATTTACTGATGATGAGGGGATATCTATGACGATCATAAAGGTATATGTGTTTGGGATAAGAATGATCTTAAACAAAAAAATTAACATCCTCAACCAAGTATTCCAGGAAATATGACAAGATAAACCTCCAGTGGCGTAGCTAGAGTAAACCTCACCCGGGGCGGTCCGCTCAAATGTCACCTCAATGACCCCGATTCACCCTATGCTGAATGGTTAGCTGTAGCTAAATTTTCATACATGCTCTACCTCTACTTTACTCTACTGACTGGTACGTTACTGTTTACATGTATGATCCAAGACAAAATCCAATACCACAAAATAATCAGTTCAAATCAAAAGATTTTTAAAATGCAACTGTTCACTTTTTGAACAACTAAATACAAAACACGGCAATACACAAAAGAATGACATTCGATACTATGATCTTAGAATGAATGTTTTCTTGTTTTCATTGTGGCAAACTGGTCAATGACATCGTCAAAATCTGTCTTGTAAGCTCGTTTTCAATGGACAGCACAGCCAGATCCGACAGTCTTGACTGGCTCATGGTTGACGTAATTTTCTGTTGCTAATTATCCGGTGTCCAATTTTCCGTTGCATCATTTTCTGGGTACCATTTAATTATCAATGATGTTTGAAAGTATTTTTATTGACAAAAATGTTCTATTTAATTTTTAAGCATTTTCGGAACATTGTAAATCAACTGCATTCTTTTTAAAGGTTACCTAGAGAATTTATGCAAAGTTTATTTTTGTTTTCTTTATACAAGTAAAATAAATTTACATCGTATTTTGATGTTATTGTGATTTTAGTTTTAGTGATAATTTAAAAACAATAAATATTTATCATTAGTACCAATAATGGAAAATTAAGTTAAAAATTTAAAAGAATCGTTTTGGAATCAGAAAATAGAACAAATTTTTCCGATTCCGATACCGTTTCCGATACCCAAAAAGTTCCGATTTTTCCGATTCTCGATTCCGATTAATCGTCCCAACACTAGTAGATATATTCAAAAGTATATCGCTCACTCAATGGAAAATTGTATCTCAGCGAATTGATACACAAGATTGAATTTGTTGCACTTTTGGCTTCGTATTTTGCTTTGTTGTTATTAATGATGCAGAGTTAAAACACCATATCATCCAATAAAATGTTACAACAATGTCTCTTGTTACTAGCCAAGATTGTAGCAAATGAAACACATGAAAGCTGAAAACATTGCTATTTTTCCTACTCACAAATTTCCCGACAATTTATTAGAAAATAATAAGTAACAAAAACTAGGGGGTCATAAATTATTTCTGGGGGGTCATATGCCCGCCTGCGAAACCCTCTGTCTCCACCACTGTTTTCAGACTATTTTTGGCACCTTAGCCTGGTTGAAAAATTTTGTTGGGGGTGACATTGTGTCACCCCTCCTGTGCTGGCACCCGGAGCGTTCAGCCCACCTCGCCCCTCTTAGCTACGCCACTGTAAACCTTCCTAAAACAGAAACTATTATCTGGAATTGGGATGAAAGCAGTCACGGCATCTACACTGAATCCATCATAAAAATTCAGGATGATGAATTAACAAATAATAAAAACACTTCAAATAGCTTGGGATATGGATCAGTAACTGATCCATATCCCAAGCTATTTGAAAAGCTTTCTTATCACCTCTACTAAATTTGTTATAACTGATCATCAGTTATAACAAATTTAGTAGAGGTGATAAGAAAACTGAATACAAAATGGGCGACACGAAGTGTAGTTTTGCACAACACCGCAAGTTGCTACAAAACTAAAACATTAACCTGAAATCTGAAATAGCCTCTTCATATAGAGACGTTCATATGAATGTCATAAATGTTGTCAAACTTGTTCAGAAATATCTAACTGTCAGCTGTTTATAACGTCTATCCAAGACCAATATTTAAAAATGACACTGAGCGAATAAAACTAGTAGAGCTTAGCAAGGGCCATCTTTCTTCGAACCATTTGAAATGGTGTCACAGAATCACAAAGAACTGTACCAAACAGGAAAAACGAATCTTTTGAGAACTTTAAGAAAAGTTTCATTCCAATTCCAGGTCATTGATTCTGTTTTGGAAAGGTTTACCTTGAGTCTTATTTCTTGGAATAACTGACAGAAGATGTTTTTATTTACAAACTTATTCTCATCCCAATTATGAAGAACTTTCTCTTAAAACAATTTTCAGGAAAATAGGTTTCTCAATCCCAGTAATTGGTATCGGTCTTTCTAGTATTGATGGGTGTTTTCTTCCTGACCTTTTATTTGAAGTTGTGTGCAACGTTAACTTCATTATGTCATTATTTTCTAACATTCTCTAGACTTACATATGAATGTCATGAATAGCGCAAGACACGTTCAGAAATATCTAGATATTGTAGATGTAAGGAAATGCTTTCTAAAATCAATGGCTGAAAATGACTTTCAGCGAGGGAATCTTCGAAGATTGTCGACTGGCGCTATAAAATACAAATAAAGAAGAGAAACCAGATAGACAGAAACCACATCACTTGAAGATTTTCAATAACAGAAACAACTAAAACAAATAGCGCGCGTAACTCGAATAATAATAATAATAAAAAACAACAAAAAAACAATGGCATAATCAAGAAGGTGACGTGATAACAGCTAATGAACTTGAAAAACCTATTTTTCTGAAAAATTGTTTTAAGAGAAAGATTTTATAAATTCCAAACCGAAAGCAGAATAGCACGTTTCCTTATAAAAAAAAGGCGTAATATTACCATTACCATATCTATCTATCTATCTATCTATCTATCTATCTATCTATCTCAAAATTACTCTATTTCGAACCACTATACTTTGTTAGATGATATATAGCTACCGTCTTATCTAATTATCTATTTATCAATGTTTTCATAGTACCTGTTTGTGAGAATGTTAACTGATTAAGCTTTTATTATCATATATTATTAGTGGGCACAATCTTCAAAATATAAGATACGCAGATGACAGAAATAAAGTGTTACGAACACGTGATCAAAGAAGCGGGAAGAACAAAAAAAACTTTTGATAAAAAGATTTTACAAATTTCAACCAAAAGTCTCACTTGCTGCTCAGTCAATGAATTCAGTATGTTTCCTTATAAGGAAACGGATAATATTACTATTACTATTCCCTCCAGGTACCTTTCCAAGTTGGTGAACTCTAAAACTACATCTCCTAAAGGAAGGTAAGAGCACCCTTAAATGAGTCACCTTCTGAGTGATTAATTGTAGATTCAAATATAAACCCGACCAATCTTTACCTTTAGATTCAAGTATAAATCCGATCAATATTTTCATATACTTTCAAGAATATACGCAATAAACACCTTCCTATAAACATAAGTATAAACATAACCAGCGTTTACCCACAGACTCAAGTATAAACATGCCTAATATTTATCTATGAACGCAAGTGCGAACACGACCAATGTCTACATATGGATAAAAGTATAAATACAAGCAATGTTTACCTATAAAAACAAGTTTCAATCCAGTCAATTTTTACATAGAGATTCACGTATAAACACAATCAAACGTTACCTACAGGCACAAGTGTAAACAGCTATATTTGCCTATATACATAAGTATAAACACGATAAGTGTTTACTAACAGACTATATAATCAAGCATTTAACCCGACCAATGACTAGCTATAGACTTAATATTAACTCGACAAATGTTTATTAGCAGGTTTAAATATAAACAGAACCAATGTCTACGAATAGACTCAAGTACAAAACTGACCGATGTTTGCCTTTGAATCAAACATAATAACTACCAGTGTTTATTTGTACCTGTATAATAAAGTGTAAACCTGATCAAGATTCAAGTATAAAGAACCAATAGAGGCAAATATAAAACTAATAATGTTTACTTGGAGACTCAAGTATGAACACAGCTAATGTTTATCTTCGGCCTAAAACATAAACTGAACCAATGTTTAATTCCAGAGTTCTGTACAATCCCGACAATGTTTGCTTATAGATGCAGGTATAAGCACGTCCAATGTTTATCAACAGACTTAAATGTAAAACTGACCAATGTCTAAAAAAAAAGACTCAAGTACAAACCCAGCCTATAGACTCAAGTATGAACAGAGCCAAGACATTTGGAATAGGAACATGGCTCTCCGATATCCATTTCTGGGCCGTTATCCATTACACCACCCGCACAACCAAGCTTACAACACCAGGTATTCTCAAGCGATCAGCCATCAATGTAATAACCATGCTCGACGTTATTTAGCTTCGGTGATCGTATGAGAACAGAATAAGCTTTTTAGTGTGACGTAAACTGCTAGTCTAGGACGCAAGGGGTTACAGAAGATTTGGAACAAGATCAGATAGGAGTGATAGAGGAAAGGATGAGAAGGATAGTGGATAGATCAAAGCAACTAGAGATGTCGATTGAATAGTTGGAGATTATAGCTCTCAGGGAAACTGGAATAGGGAAGGGAGTTCCACAGGCGAGATTAATAGTTTCAACAGTGAAAGGGTGATAGCGGGATGCTAACCTCGTAGGGCGCTTGAATTCATGATGTCTAGGAACCAGCGAATGCAGCTCCTCGGAGCAATTACCATAAAGTATTTAAAAAAAAGATAGAGAGAGGCGACGGTGCGTCTGTGGAGAGAGTGACTGTAGACGAGATGCTAGAACAGGGCCAATTATATTGCATATTCTGGAGCTTATCAAGAACCCTGAGGGCAAACAGAAGGTGCTCAGACTATATATGCCAGCAATACTCCATGCAAGGGCGAATTGTTGATTTGTAGATCTGAAGGATCGATTCCGGGAGAAAATTGGCGCGCGGCACAGGGAGCCAACTTTCTTTGCTGTGGACGAACCAATTGACTCAATGTATTTGTTCCATCTCAGGTCAGCAGTCAACGTGAGACCAAGCAGCCGCAGAGAGGTGCTCTCGAGAAGTTGAGCGTCAGACATTTTAATGGGGGGCAGGGAAGGATCTCTGTGGTGATTAATAGAGAGCAGTTTTGTTTTTGAGACATTAACTGTCTAGGTAACGCCTTCCTTCAGGACGTTGGCGAACATAGCACTCCACAACTTGTAGCTTTTAGCAATGTTTGTTTGTTTACTATACCTCCTAGTGCTTGTTCTCCCATCCACTTATACAAGCTTGTCAGGTGAGTTACTCGCTGTTTCCCTCTCCCCCGCTTGCCTTCATCATGTCCAGAGAGTGTCAAATTTTCTAAGCCTTCTTTCTTCATTATATGTCCTAGAAATTTTAACTGTCTCTTTATAATGAAAATGTATAAGTGTCCTTTTCGTTTCCATCTCCTTAAAACTTCCTCTTTTTACATCCTCTATCCATGGTATTCTGAGTATCCTTCTGTAGAACCATATCGTTTTTGGCCTCAAGCCTCCTTTTCATCAGGTAGGAAATTGTCCAGAATTCTCTGCCATATCGGAGTATCGGTATTAGATAGCAATTCAGCGCTCTTTTCTTTGTGTTCTCGGTATCTTTCTGTAAAATCACGTCTATTGCCTCAAGTCTCCTCTTCATTTGTGTTGATAATGTCTAACTCCTGTATAAGAAGATTGTTTAGCATTATTTCCTTTGTTTCTATCGAAATTTTCTGTTTAATAATACTTTGCTGAGATTTTGAAAGGCATCTTTTGTTATCCCAATACGATTTCGGTGTCACATTTTCGTCCTCTTTTTTCCTTCCCAGAAATTTGAACTTCTGTACTTGTCTGATTTTGACTATTTTAATTCGTAACCTGAATTCTGGTCTTTTTCTTTTGCTGTCACCTTACTATTGGTGGTTATTCCTTTCTTCTGACTTCCTTTTACTAGCTTGTCTAGGAGTTCCTCCAGTCTCAACACGACGAGAGAATTCATCTCCATTTAGGGTTACGACATTTTGAATTTTTGTAAAATAATTTATTTCCTGTATCATAATTTGATGAACTTTTGTCCGAAAATAATGAAATGTTTAAGTCATCCCCAACACGAAATTTCTAAAATCGTATATAAGTATACTAGTAGTATGACTTACCTGGCACATATCAGAGGGTATCGCCCAGACGAGCCTCTGTCTCGGGAAACTGACTCCATTTTTACGTGGTTTATAGGGAATTTTTGCTCGGATACCCCACTTTAAAACTCGGCCTTGTGCCACATCTTGCTGTGTGGGGCAGTGTGTAAATAATTATACTAGTATTATGACTTTTGTCGCCTTCTAGAACTTTCTGGAATCTTCTAGAAATTTCTGGTGCCTTCTGGAAATTAATGACGAGCATTTTGTGGGACTATATAAGCGTGTTGTCATTTACATAAGACGAATGAGTAAAGTGTGTTTTTTGTGATCAAATATATATTTTTTCTTATTTCAGAGTATATAAGCTTTCTGACTGAGCAACGCTGATTGATTTGCTGAAAGATCTCCATGTATTCATTTTTAACCATAATGTATCATAAAAAAAGTGCTTCTGCCACTTAATGAAACAAGACGATCTGTATGAAGAATCTCATTTCAAGATTTCAAGTATCACATAAGAAAAGAAGAATTGTTCCACTAGAAGAACAATCATTGGAAAACAAAAGTAGGATAACCCTCAAAATCCAAATTGTAGGTCACTATCTCTTCCTTGGAGCATTCAGCAAAGGAAGGAAAGAATGTATAATGGAAATTGCAAAAGAAGTAACAAGTTTATGGCAAAAGAAATTAAATTTCCCATATTTTATCGAGTCAAACAAAACTGGATCAAGCGCTGAACACGTACCCCGAATGTGTGAAAAAGGAATATGATTCATTGAATGATATTTTTGACAACACCAAAGGAAATTTTGAATGACTGCGTATTGATGACAGACGTTTATATCATCTTCAAATCGAAAGCAAAAGACATGCTGGATATACAACTGAAAAGACTACGAGTTCCAACACTATTCATCCATCTAAAAGAAAAGTGACCTTGGAGCGAACTTCAACAAGTGCAGCAACAACAACAACTTCATCTTCCGAATCAGAGTCTGAATCAGTGATCCAATCAAAAACAAAATGGCAACCAAATTAGCAACACCTTCAAACTTATCAACTGGCAAAGCAGCAAATGTTTGTCAGTAGTTATTTCAAAGAGGGATTGACGTTGAAACACCTTCTCAATCCGGTATTTATAGATCCACTATTAAAGAATCTCTTAAACCTAAAGAAAAAAAAATGAAAAAAACGCTACACTTAGAAAATTGGCCATTGCATTTTGATGGCAAACGAATTGATGAACAATAATATCAAGTGCATGTTTTGAAGAATGAAAGAAAAGAAGTTAAGTTAGAAGCATTACATCTACCAAATGGAAAAGTGGATAGTGTTGCCAAAGGAATAACAGATGTTCTGGATTAATACAATTTATGGAAGAGCATAAAGATGATTGTTACGAACACTACGAATATGAACTCTGGAAGCAGGAACGGGACTGTCCTTCAGTTACGAAGATTATTTCCTCAAAAGAAACTGAAGTGATTCCAATTCTTTCGTTGTCAACATCATTTTCTTGACGAAGTGCTTTACGTAGTAATGGATGGACAAATTGAAGGAAACAACACATCAGCCAATATCTAATATCCCTTTATCCGTGAACTTGCTCAGGAAGAAGTTCAAGAATGGTAAAGAAGAAATTATTGAAAAAATAGGATGGCGTGATGAAATGATATTTCTATTTCATTTAACTCGAGTTTTCTACTTTCTCGAAGAATCTGGAAGATTTCTTAAAGTGAAGTTTAAAAGAATACCTAACTTCAGTCATGCAAGATTAAATTCTAGAGTAATACTAGCTCTTTTGGCATTTATTCTTCTACCAGAGAAAAGAGACTCGCGACACAAAATTTGTAGATTCGTCTCTTACAGATGGCTGGGCCATTGGTTTACTGACAAAATCTATAATGTAGATGATTATCAGAAGCTATATAACAGCTTGCAGGCTTACAAAAAAGCATTAAAGTCCGGGGTAAATATTTGCAATAAAGTGCTTTCAAGTTTTTTTATGACGTTTGTAAAAAGGAGAATGTTCAGCTCATATTGTCTAACTGAACACAATAATTGTAAATTATGCTATAATTATGCTAAATATTTCACATTCTTTTTCTTTATATAGCCAGTCCTACTTGTAGATGTACGTCTTTAATTGTATATGCAAGTGTGTAATTTTTGATTATTTGTAAGGTTGTATGTTATGCTTTAGATATAAACTGTTAGATGCGTTTAAATACGTAACTACTATCCAATTATATTATTAGCAAATTGAAAAATAAAGCTACTGAAATAGTCCGACTCTTTAAGCTTATTGCGTATTTGGTAAAATCGAATTTTCCGTTTGGGGGTGACCTTTTACAAGAAATAAAACAAATTAATGCCTATACTATTTCTATATTTTGGATATATGTGCCATCAGCTGATCAGTGTATAGAATCTATCTATCTATCTATCTATCTATCTATCTATCTATCTATCTATCTATCATAGTCTCTTCATCTATCTATCATAGTCTCTTCATTATCTATCTATCTATCTATCTATCTATCTCTTTTTATCTATCTATCATAGTCTCTTCATCTATCTATCTATTCATCTATCTCTCTCTCTCTCTCTATATATATATATATATATATATATATATATATATATATATATATATATATATATATATATACTCTATATAAACCTTCCCAAAAAAACAGAGACAATGATCTGGAAATGAAATGAAAGTGCTGATGACACCTGCCCTAAATCCATCATAAAAATTCAGTAAGTGGAATAAATAAATACTAACCACTTCAAATACCTCGGTGTATGGATCAGTTATAATAAATTTATCATAAAAGTAGTTTCACTCAATACTGCAAATTGCCACAAAGCCAGAACTTTTAACGAGAAAGCTCGTCATGTTCTTAAATATCTTTTTTCAGATCGAGGCTTTCATGTGTATATCATGCATGGCACAAAACTGCCAGCTGTATAAAATGGTTTCTAAAATAAATGGTTCAAAATGGCTTTAAGCGAGGGAAACCTGTAGAACCTGGCGAAGATCATCTTTTTTCGAAAATTGTCGCCTGGCTCTATAAAATAAAAATAAAGAACAGATAACACATCACTTGAAGACTTTCAACAGCAACAACAACTAAAATGGATAACAGATGTATCTTGAAGAAAAAAATAACAGCTACTGGAACTTTTTTTAATGGAAAGATTATATAAATTTCAACCAATACTGGCTGCTCTGTCAACGAATACTAAATATTTCCTTATAAGCAAAGGATTAATATTTCTATAACCATTACCATATCTATCTATCTATCTATCTATCTATCTATCTATCTATCTATCTATCTATCTATCTCAAAATTACTTTATGTCAAGCCACTGTAGTTTTTTAGAAGTTATGTAGCTTTCGCCTTATTTAAATATCTATTTATCAATATTTTTAGTACCTTGTGAAAATGTTGATTAAAGTTTTTTATCACAAATTATTGGATGGCATAATCTTAACAACAGCAAAAAAGATACGCAGATAACACTGTTGATGGCAGACATAAAAATACAAATATGGGAAAAACTAGTTAAGGTCGTAAAAGAAGTCAGGGAGAACAAACTAACTATACATTGTTCAGAGACAGAACGAAAGTCATTAAGTTAACCAGATAGGCGAATACGAGACTTCGGAATCAAACCAATAAAAAAGTTTAACAATCTGGGTAGTATTTTAACAGATGACAGAAAATGTGACATTAAAATATCAAGAAAAACTTTACAAAAGCCGAACAATGCGTCAAGAGACAAAAAAATATCATGATGTACTGCTATATAATATACATCTTCGTATCTGATATTGAATGCTGACAATTGAGCCAACAAAGATATAGTTCTACTTACTGCTTATGTATAGACAGTGCGAACATAGGAATCACCACTGTATGGTGACTGTCAGTTTCACGCTTCGATACGTTCTTTAGACCAAGTCCTTGTGGGAAAAAAAACTGACTGGTCACGTTCAATACCTCGAGAAGAGAGTGGGAAGAGGAAAGGAACACATGAAAAGAGAACTAATGGGTTATCTCATCACATTGGCGTGATTTTTTACTAAGGAAAATTCAAAGAAAAATAAAATTGCCGATCAGGGCCCAGAGAAATGGCATCTAAATTTAACTAATGTTATAAAAATGGATTACGTAGGTGTTTTACTTTAAAGAATACTACTGCACTTGAAGGAACGTGAGTGTAATTCCCTAATGTCTATTGTTTCTGTCATTTCTAAATCTGACAAGTTAATCTCGTAGCCTATTACTACTGTCATGAGTTCAGTCTTTACTGGGTGACCTACACTTCTGGCCTTGTGCCAGATTTAGTTAAGCTTAGATAATATCTATTGAGTGTGCATCGTTGGTGATTCATAGCTGAGTATATGCCACGAGCGCAATTGGTCGGTGTTAGAAGCAAGGTAAAAAGCGAGGATATTGAACGATGATTTACAAGTCTGGCGCAACATATTCTATCTTATTACTCTCTCTATTTGATATTGTTCCGTCTAAATATAATAAGAAAATCAAACTAGTGACGTCCCATCATCACTGGACGGACTCTGAATCTTCGTCTAGCACAATGAACGAGTTTTCTTTCGGGGAAGCTCTGTACGTTAAGCACCTCTTGGGAATTAAGCACAACACAAACCTCGCTAAAGATGCCAGAAAAATGGTCGGGTCCCAGTACCACTCCAGTAAGTACCCGATTCCGCATGCTATCTTCTACCTTTACAAGAGCCAGATCAGGCTGAAAATGAAGTAATGCTACCATATATGGACAGGAGCTGCCCAGTCTTCACTTTCCAGTGACGTTAGAGTCCTAAGCGTCCCCGCGTCCTTGTGAGTGATGGATTATTTTCATCCAACTTCTCTCCTACAGACGAAACGTCGCAAGCCCCTCTCCCTTGGAAATAGCGATAGAGTTATCGCTATTTCCATGGAAAATGTACAGACGAAATACATTCCTTAATTCCATTAGTTCTAACCTTTACGGCCAAGACCCGCCATACAACGCTGATTGTAAAGAACCACCTTCATTCCCTTCGTATTTCATTGGTGAGATGAAAGTTTCACTCAAGCAGTTTCTTCCCACGAAACTTTGTATTGTAGAATCGACTCCCAAGAGGATGTTTCCACGATCACGCCAATCTTAACCTACAGCTGTATATACCCGCTTTCTAAGATCAATGGTTAAAAGGGCTTTGAATAAATGAAGTCTGAGGGTTTTGGCAAAGATCATCGTTCTTCGAACCTTGTAGATTTTCGATACAGAATCACAAAGAAAGGACTGTAGGGAACATCGCTTGAAGTCTTTCAATGACATCAGCAACAGTGGGGTGATAGCACACGTAACTCGAAGAACAAACAAGGAGATAATCAAAAAGTTAACACTCCACACTACTTTAAATAAAAGGCCAAAAGGATTCTACTTCGAAGCAGATTAAATGTTAAATTGATATGTATTGTAGTTTTTTTTTAATACCAATCCCGATACTTTTTGATCAAATCTTGTATATGAGAACGATGATCGAGGTGATTTAGTAAGTGTACGAAAAAGATATTGGACTTGTTTTCAACGTAAAAATTTCTGGTCAACAATAAGGCGAAAATATTATGAAAAGTCAGTGGAAGTGTCATGACTCGACCCCCTTAATGTTAGCATTCCACACTACTTAAAAAAAAAAAAGGTCAGGAAGGAGATCTCCATCAATACTGGAAAGAGCTATAAAAGCTACTGGACTTGAAAAAACAATTTTCCTGGGAATTTTTTTAAGAGATAGATTTTGTACACTTCAAACGAAAGCAGTACTGAATTCTCAGTCAATGAATGCCAAAAGTTTCCTTGTTGGGAAAAGGCTAATACTACCATTACGATATGAACTGACAGATATTTGTAATACTTTTTTTTTTAAAGGCGCGTGCCTTATACGCCATGAAATATAGCATATATATGTGTATATGTGTCTGTGTGCTTAAGTGAATGAATATTTATATATACGTATGTGTGTGTGTGTTCGTATTTGATGGTATACAGATGCAATATTTACTTGTTTACATGTAATATTTCCATAGTATAAAATCAAGCTACATACAAGTGCTGGCTTCTTAGTAAACATAGACGACTAGAAAACTTGACTTAGCATATAAGTAGAATTTTACATTATTTGTAATTCATTTTTTAAAATAGGGAGTCTGATATCTCAACTTGTATATATTAAATATATATAAATATTTTATATATATATATATATATATATATATATATATATATATATATATATATATATATATATATATATATATATCACAGGTTTTTGAACAGGATTGAAGGTTTAAGAATTGTTTCATGCTTGGCTTAGTATTTCCGGCTCATTCTAAAGTCTTCTAATTTTCTTTCATTCCAAGTAGCTCCTTGTGTCTTAGTGGCATTATCGCCTTCCTTGGGATAAATTGATCATATATAGGAGAGTACATAATTTTTCTCTCAGAAAATTTCTAGAATATTCAGTCCGGTTGACGAAAATGAATACTGTTTAATAAATAAACGTCTACTCAAGTATATTCTATTTCTTTTTATATATATATATATATATATATATATATATATATATATATATATATATATATATATATATGGTGTGTGTGTGTGTATATATATATATATAGGAACAATTGATTAATATATATATATATATATATATATATATAGTTATTTCTTCCTATATATATATATATATATATTCATTCATATATATATATATATATATATATATATATATATATATATATATATATATATATATATATTTATATATAAGATAGAAAAATTCATCTGAACGATGAATTGAATAAATTCAAGAATTTGGAATCATGTCCAAAATTCCACTCTTTTAGCAAAAGACAAGAAACTCGCCGATATTTACGCAATCACGCGCAGACGCGCGAAAACTGGCAGACATCTTTATACGCAGACCCGAATAACCGCACGCACAGTCGCCAGACAAGCAGATAGACGCATTTACACGCATATACACGCACCTACATACAAACATTCACGTAATGACAGATGTACATGTACATAAGAAAATATACACATCAACAAATACGCAACAGACACACATACAAGCGCTAACAGACAGTGACACACATATATATACAAACTTTGTCAATATAGCAATAAAACATATGAGTGTATATCTATAAAAGGAGTCATTATGTTGTAATCAAAACATAAAATTAGTCAAAATACTTTTTAAAATATTTATATTCAAAATAATAAATTCAGTTGGGTTGTAAAATATATTCTCTTTTTAAAATTAATTTTTAACTATGATCAGGCTTTTCAATCCAAAAATTATTTGTTCGTAAATTCGAAAATGGCGTATATTGCATTTACTATCTAGGGTCTGCCTTGTGGCCAAAACAGTTACTTGTTTTCTTACGGTCGGTGTTCGAGTACCAGTGAAGGCGATAAATTTTCATTGTTGATTTTCAAATCGGACAGAACCTCATTATTTGGAGTATGCACAATACCGTTTTCTTGCACTCAAATCAATATTTGTCCTTGTGTCACACTTAGCTACGCTTAGAAAATACCTTTCTTTAACGGACACATGATAACACACACCCACACACAAATTCACAAATGCACGTCTCTCCCATTGATTACATTCATGCTGCGACAAAGCGTTCCAATCTGTATACTTACATAATCTGTATACTTACATAAACATTAAATTTACGAACAGGCAATTTCAAATCGTCGAAAGAAATGACAAAAATAGAGGCGCGCATATGCAGATATTGTCAGTTGAGTACGAAGAAAAGAAATTCTGCATATGATCTATCCACATGGAGGCAGGGAAGTGCAATATTTGCAGGTTTAACCGCAGGGGTAAAGAAAAGGGCTGGGTGTCAAGACGTTTGAGATTTTAAGTATAAAAAAAATTATGAAAACTAAAAAGGATTTCATTTGAGATTAAAGCATTTCTTTTTAATAGGTCCTTATTTCGAGCTGCTTAATTACAAGAAAGATTCGTTAATGTTAATATCTCAGTGTTTCATTTGAAGTCATGGAACTAATCATTGGTTAAATATTGAAGTCAGAATAAACAAACGAAAAGAACACGCAATGAATGTGACGAAAAATTGCAAAATTTATTATATATTATGCAGAGTTTAGTATTTACATATTCCTGCATACATATACAAGCATACACGCACACAAACACACATACATACACACACACACACACACACACACACACATATATATATATATATATATATATATATATATATATGTTTGTATGTACTATCGTGCGAATATTTGACAAATAACCAAGAATC